CCTCGGAGACCACCCCGTTGGCCGGGACGGCGAGGGCGGCGGAGGCGTTGGCAGCGAGCACGGCGGCCACCTCGGAGACCACCCCGTTGGCCGGGACGGCGAGGGCGGCGGAGGCGTTGGCAGCGAGCACGGCGGCCACCTCGGAGACCACTCCGTTGGCCGGGACGGCGAGGGCGGCGGAGGCGTTGGCAGCGAGCACGGCGGCCACCTCGGAGACCACCCCGTTGGCCGGGACGGCGAGGGCGGCGGAGGCGTTGGCAGCGCGCACGGCGGCCACCTCGGAGACCACCCCGTTGGCCGGGAAGGCGAGGGCGGCGGAGGCGTTGGCAGCGAGCACGGCGGCCACCTCGGAGACCACCCCGTTGGCCGGGACGGCGAGGGCGGCGGAGGCGTTGGCAGCGAGCACGGCGGCCACCTCGGAGACCACCCCGTTGGCCGGGACGGCGAGGGCGGCGGAGGCGTCGGCAGCGCGAACGCTAACACCATCGTTGTCGGGCTGGGCGTCGTGGGCAGGACGAATCCCGGCGTCGTGGTCCGCGGCGTAGTCCACCTCGTTGGCATCGAGAGCCGAGGCGGTGCTAACGGCGGCGGCAAGACGTCTGGCTTTGTCTGCATGGAACACCCTGGCGTTGACAATCGCAGCGTTGACCGCGTCGTGGCCGAGGAGGACCCGAACGAGATCGGCAGCGGTGGCGCCCGTGGCTCCGTCGTGGAACAGGAGGTCCATGGCTGCGCTGGCTTCGGCATGCACGTCGGCCTCTGACAGGATGGCCGAGGCGAGGCGGGTCGCGTCGACTCTGGGCACCGCGCCTTGGAACGTCAGGAAGTCACTCAGCACGTATAGGACCGCTTCGTTGGCGAGGAAGGTGTAGGCGGCGTCGTCGGCGTCCTCGTACGGCAGCTCGTCGTCGCCCGCGCCAACCGCGTCCTGGTAGAAGTCGCGGACCAGTGCCCGCAAGTCCGCCTGGAAGACGGTCCGCAACCCGTCTTCCCAGCAAACCGCACGCGTCTCTGCAGCATTGTCTTGAACGTTCACTACACACATCACACTTTTCAAAGTTTGTTGGTCGCAGGGCCTACTCCAGCAATAAGCGTATGCACACTGTTAGTCCTGGCTAGAGTAGATCCTGGCAGGATCGCCAATTGAGAGCTTCGTTGGATGGGGGGGAAGGCTCACGAGACCCCAGGCCGGACTGAACCGCGCGGTGACGCGTGGATACCCGGCAGATTCGTAAAAGCGCGCGCGGACGCGACGCACGACGGCGTCCTGGAGGCGCGTGTTGGCCGGCACGGCGGGGCAGGGTCGACGAAGCGCGTGTCGTTCTCGGCGGCGTCCTGGCGGTGCGCGACGGCTGGCGCGGCAGGGAGCGTGGAGGCGGCACGCGGCAGCGTCGTCGACGTCCTGGAGTGGTCGGTCACGGAGCAGCGTCTCGAAGAGCGGCGTGGCAGAGCCCGCCTACTTCAGGGACTCCGCCGGGGCGCGGCGAGGACCGCCTGCACCCTGGCAGAGAAGGCAAAAATGACGGGCGGCAGGCTCGAGGCCGCCAGCACCGGGACGAGTAAGATCCAATCTGGGTCACAAGACAAATTTATTTCCAAACCGGCAGGGTACATAAGGCGCGTAGACCATACAGCAACACTCGAGAGGGAACGGCTGCCGGTATGCCGTGGCGCCCTCTGGGCGGCATCCCCGCGAACCCGGCCCAGCAAAAGGCTCGCCTAGCGCAGCCAAGCGGCTGGCTAGGACCTCACTGGAGTCTTGCCGCCGATACCCCGCGCGCGAGGGTGGCGGAGGCTGGCGTGTGGCGAGGTTCGTGTCAGGGCACGTTTTAAATTAAGCGCTTGCTGAGGAGCTGGTTTCATAGTATGCAGCCATTTGATGAGAATTAAAAATCTTCAACTCAAAAGGAGTTTCCAAACACCGATTTTTCACACAGATTTGAGCAATAAAGCACCGATTCACATGAGAGTTTGTTCTTCTGACTTCTTCTCCTTTAAGACGAAGCATCTCCATACCTCACACTTGTACGCACATTCGAAACAAGAAAGGGGCAGCAGGTATGGTTGTATGCATATATTGTCAAATCCGTCTTTGCTAGTCTGTTTGCATGTCCATTGGGCCTTGAAATAAAAAATCACATCTTCGTAAACTTTTTGGTTCATCGCAAGGAGAATTTTTAGTAAACGACTAAAAGAACACTAAAACCCTCATTACTTTGGAACTAATGGGAGTTGGGAGTCCAGTCTGTGGCTGTAAAAGTTTTACATAGTAAGCAACTAAATCACCAAAAACTAAAGTACTGCCACCTATACTTTGGAAGATAGTTTTTTCACCTTACAGTAACCTTAACACGAAGCATTTCCTTACTTGTGTGCACTCGAGTGCCTAAATTTGCTTGTGTACTAGTTGGTCAATTCAGCAGGAGTGACGGGCTTTGAACAATGAATAACGGGATAGTGTTTTTTTCCAAATCGGCAATAATATTTACAGATTTTGGCTAACGTTGTCGTTAAGTGATGCTTTTTAAAAAGGTGCTTTTACCCCGCTAAGCATAAATTACACAAACGTTCCAAAAGGCGGGGGTCTCGTCATTTAGTTTTACAAAACTGACATCCCGCGATGCGAATGGTTGGTATTTTAACTGTCAGTGCGCTCTCTACCTCAAGTCCTGTCGATACTGACATTGTGTGTTTGCATCGGAAACTCACTGATATGTACCGATAACAGGACGCGTAGTCCGCAACTTTTGGCAAAGGTCCTTTGCTGCCCTTTCCGGCCTTTCCTACGAAAGGCTGCCTCGGTGTCACACCGCAACAACACTGTGGCAAAAAGCTACGGAAAATTCTGCAAACAGCTTGTGGAAATTCTCCGTAGCCCCCTTATCAATATTCTCCGCAGGCTCTTACAGTATTTTCCGTAGGACCGCACAGTATCCTCCGTAGGACCTTACAGTGATCTCCGTAGGACTGTACAGTCTTCCAGGTCCTACGGAGAAGACTGTGCGGCCCTACGGAGAATACTGTACGGCCCTACGGAAAATACTGTAATAGCCTACGGAGAATATTGATAAGAGGGCTACGGAGAATCCTGGCAAAAAAATAACAGAATTTTCCGTACCTTTTTGCCACAGTGAAACGACGAGAACTCCAATGGACTTTTTTGGATTGGCCTGGCCAACAACAGCACCAATAATGACCGGTTGAAGGGGCTCGCAGCCACAGCGCCAAAGCACACGCGCCAGAACATGCCGTGCCGAAATCGATGGCTCGAATCGATGTGTTGATAACCATGTCTCGAGAGCCTAGCCAATCAAAGCCAGGGGAAACAGACGAGGAGAAGAGGGTTGAAAATGCAGAACTTATTGACGCAGGCTCGCTAGGATTGGTCTAATTTTAAAACGGTAGCAGTATGCACTAAGCACACGGCAGGTTTATTGGCTGAGCGATAGCGAAACCCGTTACTCCAGTGGAGTTAAAAAAAAAATTTCTGCCGCGCGCGCGCGCGCGTGTGTGTGTGTGTGTACTTCTCCTGAACGGCTCGGCCGATCTGGCTGAGATTTTGCAGGGTCATTAGGTGTGTCCTTGGCTTGCCACACACCAAAATTCAGCTTTCTATCTCAATCCGTTTGGTCATTTCAGCCAAAAAACACTTTAAAAACGGTAGAAAAAAGACAACTTTTTAGGTCCTTTGAACTTTTTGTCAAGTTTCATAACGTTTCATATGTTTTTGATGGTGCTGATGACGAGAATAGAACCCATTACCCATTCGGACCCCCGACCCAACGTTAAGTCCCAAGTGTAGATTTTGATGACCAAATGCTATTTTTTGGGGGATCACGCCCATTTTTACGGTCTGTCTAGCAAAGCAGCCTGCCGAAGGCAGGCTAGCGCTGCAGGCGCCAAGGTAGGTAGGTGTATACGCCAGGCGTGGGTTGTCAAAACTGGCGCAGCATCGCGAAGCCTGTTACGACAAGACACGGACGTGGTCTGGCGTACACCTACCTTGTAGTGTAAGGTGTTATAAATTTTCACCGGGAACTTCTAATATCATCTGAGCGGGCCGGGCGCGTTTGCAAGTGTGCCCTGCTGGTTGCTGGGCAACATGATTGCCCACACGTTCTACTACGCAGGGGTTCGTCCATTCAGTTCCACCAAAAGGCCAGCACGTGATGTGAATGGACGGTATTTGAATGCCAGCCCAAAGCCCAAAGCACCTTTGCAGCTGAGGTCTCCAATTGGCATCGTCAGCGGCCCAACATGGATGCTCCGATAAGGGAAGGCGTAGGTCGCAACTTCTGCTGCCCTTGCCCCGCCATTGGTCACAGCAAGTCGTCCCTCCACCCCGGTGCCGCCATGTCCTTCCGCCGCGCCACGCTGTGCCTCTGGGCGCTCATCATCAAGGTGGCGGCCTGCTTCACCTACATCCCGGTCAAGCTGCGCGGCGGCCGAGTGCAAGCCTTGTCCTTGCCAGTGCTGCTCACCTCGTCCACCTGCTACTCTCTTGTGGCTACCAGTCTCTTGGGGGTGGTTTGGGAAAGTAAATTGATGTTTGTCTTCGTCGCGACCATACACATCTTGGAGTACCTGGTCTACAGCTCTCGGCGGGGTGACGTCGCCGTACTGCTGCGCTGCCTGTGGACGTACCTCAAGGTGAACCCACCGAGCGCTGCACGGTGGCGCACCTTCTTCCTGGCCACGGTCGTCATGGTCCTCTTCAACCTGGGTCGCTCAGCGCTCCTCGTAAAAAGATCCCTTCAGGTCTTCGTAGAAATAGGCACCTTCAGGATCGTGGCCATCTGGGCCTTAAGGATTCTGCGTCTCACGATAGGTGTCTGTATGAGTCTGCGCCTCGTATTTCCACTGGCCATCATTGGTTTCGCGGCGGCCGACCTGCGCGCCGAGTGCAGCAGACTGGTGCGTGCGGCGCGGGAGGACGGCCGCCTGGTCGACGGATTCGAAGTGCGAGCGCTGCGCCAGCGGCAGTTCCTCGTTCACGACATGCTCCGCCAGTGCAGCCACGCCAACGGCCGTGCCGTGCTGCTGGAGTTGGTTTACATGCTGCTGATCGTCACGCCCCTCGAAAGCCACTTCACCACTATATACAATAATGATTATTTGACGGCACTATCCTGCCACGGCCTGCTGATGATACCCATGCTGGTTATTATATTATTGTGCCAGTGGACAACACTGGAGGTAACTGCACTTCATAGTTCATGCACTCGGAAGTACCCGTGGAAGAAATTGTAACACAGGGACTTTCTGTCGCAGTTCGATGCCCTGGTCAAAGAGCTCGTCAGCCTCCATATCGACCAGCAACAAGCATTTGACCGGACTGCAGAAAGAGAAGTAAGCAAAGTTCAATCTTAAACTTCCTTTCCGTTAGAGAAGTTTGTTTAACTTAGTGTGTACGTCGCTTAGTCGAGGTCGCTGTTGAGCTGCATCGACCATTGCCAAGACAACAGGTTCAGCCTGGCAGGAATATGTCACTGCAACATCGAGTCCGGATCACAAGTAAGGAAAGCTTTGTTACCATCCGGTATTATAGTACTGTACAATGTATGGAAATGCGTTACTATGCATAGTTTTACGTGGCCATGCAGTCATACAAAAAAAATATTCATCTGCTTATAGCTTTAAGGGGGCAATAGAGAATAGCCAAAAACTGACTTGTGCGATTGCTTCAATACGTCTAGTTCCCCGAAGGTCAAACTTTCCATGTTTGAAGACCTTAAGAAAAGAAACATTTTAAGCCCAGAACGGCGTCAGCTACTTTAGTTTCCTCAAAAATCCAACTCATGAAATTTCCTCAGTCAGAAAAAAAGAGTATATCGCACCGTCTGCGCCAAAATGTAGGAAATTGAAGTAGCTATCGCACGAACCACAACCATGAATAAAAGCCAATTATAAGATCAAAATTTCATCCATAGACCTGTTCTAAGGATTTTGCAAACACGATCAAAACCTGGTTTTCCATTTTACAAAAATTTTTCACTGACATCTACGTTTTAAGATACTTTCTGTTTTTCTCATTCACAAGAATCCCGGGTGGAAGGATCTTTAGTTAAACTGTAGTTTCAACTACAGTACCAAAACTGCAGTTCCCGAACTAAAGTTAGTTTTAAAAAGAAACTGAAGACTAAATACAATTCCACTTTGCAGTTGAAATTGTAGTTTTCTGTCAGTTCACAATGTAGTTTTAGTGTTGATTTGAAGTTCAGTTGGAGGTTCAGTTTAAGTTTCAGTTACAATTTACTTAATATCCATTTCTGGAAGTAAAGCGACTGCTGAAAATAAATATTCAAAAACTGTCTCTCATCTAGTATGTTTCCGTACTTAGTATATATTTTAAACATATTCTCTTATCGACATACTAACGTTGATAGTTATGTCTCAAAACTAGTACGTTTCCATACTTCTTATGCAATCTTCTAGTTGTATCAAGTAAAAGTTACATACCACTAGGGGAACTCAAAATTACAGTGGCTGCTTCATTGCTTTTAAAGCAGTTGAGGTTTACGTTGAATTTTTTGTCGTCTCCCTTTAAAAAAAGTATCAGGTTAAAAGCAAACGTTTATGGTTTATAGCTAATACAGTTGGCTTTACTTTATATGGTATAGTTGTTCGCTGTTTAAAAATTTATGCAAGTTTCCCCTTTTTTTAAAGTTAGCCTCCCTAAAGAGACAAAGCAACCTTAAGTCTGCGACAAGTTTACGTAAACTGACTTGTCGCAAAGGGCCAAAATATTTTGCGCTTACATTTTTTATACTGACAGTTTAAAATTAAAATTGGTCATAAAATGCAAGTTTGTCATGAAGAGGACTACAACTTTACATAGGATTACTCTAAAATTGCTTGTAGTTTAAAAGATGTAGAAAAATTCTTAGTTTTGATTTTTTTTTATTAAATCTAAATCAAAGTAATTCTGTTAAGTCCTTCATATACCCTTTTTAAAATAAACATAATATTACATGCTAGTTGTATTAAATAACACTTTCGTTGAGTGAAGTTGGAGCAAAGCATATTGACTACCGCGAAAATGGACACTTAGTGCATCATCCGCTAGGTGGCGCTAGTGTCGCATCATTTACGTCTTCGAGTTAAAAGTGTTCTTGCAGCCGATCAGGGGAATATTTTTGGATCAAACTCTGTGCAGGGCAAATATTTCAGATGCTATGACTCTACCACAAAAGGATTGACCTCGATAGGTGGAATATTAGGGAAATAACTTTGAGTACAACTTTCCTCTCGCGTACGGCTACGGGTCGTAGTTTGGTTAGGCTCCGATCGCTGTGTCCCCAAGTGCATTAGTCCTCGATGCGAAGTATATATTTTACGAGCGATCAACTCCGAGAGGAGGTGACTCCACTCACACCTTAGGCTGAAATCACCTAAGGTGGCAAAATGAAATCAGGGCTGAGGCTCTATTTTGAATTTTCACTCTCTTTTCGGAAACTGAACCCCAACTACTCTCTTTCTAGTTATTTCAAATGGCTTTTAAGTTGTTCGAAACTAAGGTTGAACTGCAGTTTGACTGCAGTTTAACTAGCACGAAAATGAGGGAGAAACTATAGTTGTTCCAAATAACTGGTAGTTTTTGCATAGTTAAACTGCAGTTTTACTGCAGTTGACCACAGTTTAACTACAATTTTTTTTCTCTTAAAAGTTACTTTTAACTTCTTGATTTTTTAATTTTTTTTTCACTTAAAACAATACATTTTACAACAGAAAAACTCCTGTTTTGTCATATAGTTTTAACTGCAGATCCTTCCACCCGGGATTTAACCAATTCTCTCAATTTTTTCAAATGAGTGAATACAAATTTGTATCTTTTACGCCTCCGACTGTTTGGTTCTAATACAGATCCAAATAAGCGGAACCAACGTAAATCTTAGTACTGACAACGGAATTTCATCCATCGTTAATTTTTTTCGGACAATTTTTTAGCTCTGTTCAACTATGTCTTTGCAGAGATGACATAAAGGCGTGTTTTACGGTTTTTGTCTGATAAATAACAGGAACTTCAAAATTGTCGCAAAACACGCTGAGGTGTACTCCGTCAGAGAACGTCTCACATGCTTTGTACTGTTCCAGGCGCTCCTTGCTGTTGGCAAGTACTTTGTCATCGATAAGCTGCAAGAATTCCACTGAAGAATATCAGAACCATCAATATATGTCAATAATCATTGTCACGCTTTGATTTGTTATGGAGACTACCAGTGTAAATGCACTTATAAAAAGAAGAAAAAATCTCCACTCTACACTGGTAAAACTAGAGCGTAGTATTACCCTCTGTTTTCAAGCATAGTCAATTTACGCTTGAAATCAAGCGTAACAGGCTCATCCACCAAGAATCTGCCCTGGGAGAGTGCATGCATGGAAAAATTTCTAGTCTATGCTTCATTTCAAGCGTAACGTCTTCAAGCGTAACATTATGCTTGACTCAAGCATAGAGTTACGCTTCAGTTTTACCAGTGAAGGAACGTTCTTGGAAGCAGATGATACTCGTCGGGTACACTTAAAATGTCTTACGAAGAAATTTCCCGTAATACGAAGAAAATGGCGCAAGCATAATACGAAGGTGGTTTTTCTTCGTATTACGAAGGTTTTTCTTTGTATCTTACAATGAAAATGCTAAAAACATTCGTATTACGAAGGAATATTGCTTCGTATTGCGCTTGCGCCGAATTCATTGTAACATACGAATAACATAGGTGAAATTTCATTGTAAGACATTTAGAGTGTACTGTCCTATGGGCTAGTTCAGGCAGTAGGGTAAACTTTAAAGTTATCGGCAGGGGTACAGTTATCGTCATCTCGGCGAATGATTGGGTCCTGCTCTGCAAGCACGCGTCCGTTAGTGATGCGGCCAATGCAGGTCGCTAGAGACACCTTTTGAGCATGCAGGACCGAGACAGCATCGCGTTTGGTGAAGCATGTCAGCCAACAGAGCCATGTTTCTTGTCAAGTGCAGAATGAAGCTGCTTCGGCCGCCCGTTCTTATCTTCCATGCTAGGAACAGGGGTTCAATCTTTCGTTAAGTTCGTGAATGTGGGCCGGAAAAAACTATTATCTTTGCAAGTTTCCTTCTTCCCATCTATTGAAGAAGGCATACTGTGCTTGGTGCATAGAAATTCCTCTTGCTTGCCCTCATTCGGGGGGTGCCGATAACTGCACCTGAGAAATCACCTCAAACACAACGTCAGGGTGGCCTCAAACTTCACTGGTGTTTCGGGCGTCATCCGGGAGTTAATATTCTGATGCATTATGACCGTAGGAAGACCCCTGCCAAATTTGAATGAAATCGGACCACTATTTCCCAGTGATCTACGTGATTTACGAAATATCCTCCTCGGCGCTTTGAAAGGTTGTTTTTTCGCAGCTCATGGTGCTAATTGTCCGTGAGTCTAAAATCAAGGGCGCAAGAGGCATAACAGAAGAGAGAGAGGGTTCGTGACATGTCAAGGGGTGATTATAGAGTGTCTGTGACGACTGTTAGAAATTTTCGTCACTTTCGGTCATGTTTTGCCTTTGTAACAAGGGGTGCCGATAACTGTCATAAAGGGTGCCGATAACTGCATTTGGGCTGCCGATTACTGTGTTTTTGGTAACCCTTTTCTCAGGTTAAATAAGAGTGTCACAAAAAGTTTTTAGTGAAATCTTTGTCAGCCACTTCGTTGTCTAGATCCTTCTGAGGTGTCTGGAACAAGTCGCACGGGTCTAAGTGTCAAAACCTACCCTAGAGGCCCTTGAAAAGAAAGCGATGCTCTTAAACTGACGGTAACTGTACAGTTTACCCTATGCTCTTATCTCTGTTATTGTGTGAATAAAGTAGTGTAAGCACCCGCCTACCTGCGCCCGGCGAGGAGGAGAGGGGAGGCGAGAGCGGCAGGGATCACAGTCCTTGCCGCGAGCGCGCCGAGCCCTGCTGAACCATGGCGCTGTACCGGGGGAGTGAGTGTCCATGTTCCGCGCAGACTGCGAGCCACTCATTCACTCACTATCCGGCCTCGGCAGCCAACCCCTATTATTGTTAGGATACAGACTTGTTTTCTGGACTTGACAGTGAAAGCTAGTCGTTCAGTTATGACGAAATGGTTACAGAACGACTTCTGTCGCTATCAAAATTAGCGACTTTTTTGTCGCTTATTTACGACAAAATTTCTGACAGTGATGTGTTTCAAAGCATGTCGTAGTTTTAGGTGTTTCAAAGTATGCCTTGTAGTTTTAGGTACACTGCAAATCCTGAGAGGGGAACAGCTTCGCACATTCATAAAATTTGACCTCATTCCACCTTCAGGTGGCAAAAGCGCCTGAAAAAAGGTAACATGTGTGGCAAAAACACCTGAAAGTAGGCAACATTAGTGGTAAAAGCGCCAGAAATCTTGCACATTCTTGCACATCACCCTAACATTGCACATAAAATTTAACAGTGGGTCACCCCTCGGCAAATCCAGTGGTATGTTTCTTCGTCACTGGAGTGGCGCTTTCTCTAGCTTGCCAAAATTTGGCGTTCCATCCCTGGTTTCCGGATTCCATGCCTAATTTTGGCGTTCCACAGAGAGCGCCAAAATTTGGCGTTCCATTGTTCCATTACCCACAGACCAGAACGCCAAAAAATGGCGCTGCAAAAGAAATGCAATAATTTGGCTTGAAAAGCATCACACCCGTCCACAGAAAAAGAAATGTCCATACAATAGTTATCAGTGCTAAGGATCCCTAGTTTAAATCACAGCAATTAAAGTATGAAAAGTAGGACTGGACCAGTACAATACAAGGGCCTGACTGCTCTCCGATCATTTCGAAACTATTTGAGTTTCTTTTTCTGTGAACGGGTATAATGCTTTTCAAGCCAAATTATCGCATTTCTTTTGCAGCGCCAATTTTTGGCGTTCTGGTCTCTGTGGAACGCCAAAATCAGGCATGGAATCCGGAAACCAGGGATGGGAACACCAAATTTTGGCAAGCTGGAGAAAGCGCCACTCCAGGGGCGAGGAAACTTACAACTGGATTTGCAGTGTATGTTTCAAAATATGTATTGTAGTTTGAGATATGTTTTAAAGTATGTCTTGTAGTCTAAGGAATGTTTTAAAGTATGTTTTGTAGTTTAAGGTATTTGTAAAGTATGCCTTGTAGTTGTAGGTATGTTTTAAAGTCAAGGTATCATCTGTTAAAAACTAATTCCGAGATTTCTATATGAGGGTTTGTTGGCTGAGTGACAGCGAAGCCTGTTACTCCAGTGGGGTTGAAGAACTTTTTCTGTCTGTCTGTTTGTCTGTTTGTCAATGTTTAATTTTTCTTTTTGACCTGTACTGTCATGTACCAAGGAATCAATAAACTGAAATTGAATTGAAATTGAATTGTCTGTTTGTCTGTGCGTGTACACTACTCAACCCTTCTCCTCCTGAACGGCTCGGCCGATCTGGCTGTGATTTTGCAGGGTTATTGGGTATGTCCTTGACTCGCCACACGCCGAAATTCAGCCTACCATCTGAAACCAACCAAAAAACACTGAAAAATCGGCAAAAAGGCAACTTTTCAGTGCCTTTCAACTTTGAACCAAGTTTTACATCGCTTGTAATGTCTTTGAGGGAGCTGATTACGAAAATTGAACCCATTCTGAACCTTTGCGTGCCGTCCAGAAAGGGACGGAGCCTGCCGAAGGTAGGCCAGTGCCAAAGCAGGCCAAGGTAGGTGTAAACGCCAGGCGTGGATTGTCGTAACTGGCGCAGCATCGCGAAGCCTCTTACGACAAGACACGGTCTGGCGTACACCTACCTTGTAACACGTAGGTGATAGATTATCTCATGCCGTCGAAGTTACTCAAAGGTATGCATTGACAGGGTTTGTTCGAGGTTATCCTTTTTCGTAAAGGAGGGAGGGCGGATGAGGAGGGGAGAATGAAACTGCGACGCACGTTTCGAAAATTTTGCGCGCTTGCTTGGGGAACTTCACCCGGAGATCGCCTGCTGTGATGCTGATTGATCCAGGAAGCGGAAGAAGGGGTTAAGTCGAGTTGATTCAGTGACCTCTTATCAGTCTATCAAATAAACATGAGCGGAAATTTGGTCCAAAAATAAGTGGTGAGACAAGTCCCATCCTCTTGCATCTATTTATAGATGACATTCCCCACCTGTTCTCCCACCTGCAAAGTTAAGGCCTTGCAAAAGTGCACGGATTCAACTCGACTTACCCCCTTCTTCCGCTTCCTGGATCTGTTGAGGTAAAAAAATTGCTAACAGTCGCAATAAAAATTTATAAATTTATGAATTCTACACTATGTTTGCAAATAATGAAAAGTAGCAACAATGTGCATAAACTTGCAAAAAAGCATTTGCCACACGAATTTAAATAATAAAATAACTATTTCAATGATCGCTCCGGTTATGTTTTCTCGTCTGCCTTAACACGAAGGACTTCCTTACTTCCAGCCCAATTTTAAGAATTGTTGTCGCTCTCCTGAAAAATCATAGATCATGGACTTGCGTCACTCTGTCTACGTTCCACTGATTTACAGATTTGCGCCTCCATGAAATGGTAACATGCAATCACTAAGTGGCTCCGTGCAAGACCGCATCGCGTGCGCCGTTTTCACAGTTGACCTTGTTTTTTTTTTGGAAAGCATTTGACATGGGGCCCACTGGCACTACTATTTAGATTCGAGTCTTCGTTTCCTCATGAACGCGCCGCAACGTATGTCTACATTGAAAACACATGTAAGCTGCGCCGTTGAACTTAATCTTTGTTGTTAACGAATTAAAGTTAAGACGTTAACCTAACCAAATTAAGGTGCTCGTTAAAGTGAAGGCTCTGTAGTACTAGATAACGAGTTGTCGTTACGCATCAAAGAAGTTTAAGTTAATTTTACTTCCAAGCATCTTAGTAGATCGTATTGCTCTAAGAGCTTCGGCAGGTTTTCAGTCTCAAAGAAACATCACTGATCAATATATCAGAACCTTTAACGAAAATTGAGGTTTTAACCATTTTCTTTCGACCAAGGCATATTTGTCCTAATACTGTACTGCCCAAATATCGCCAAAATATAAATACACACACGAACACAAGCGGTGAGAACTACGATCTTTTAATTTTTTGTAAGTAGGATAACGTGCTGAATGACGGCCATGGTACCAGTGGTGGCCACTTCACACTTTGCGCTCACTTTCCATCCAGGCGAGATAAGTTAAACAATTGAGCTTTTGAGGTTTTTTACTGTCACATATTGGCAACGCCACGCCGAAAAAGTTTCAGTTTTGTGGTGTCGTGGACGGGCGCACGGGCGCAGCGCGCGCTGAACACTGCGTTTTCGGCCGGCCGAACGCTGCTTTTCATACCGGCCTAGATTAGCGCAGGCTTTGACGGTACCGCTTGTCAGTGTTGTGTGTAACATGCCCGTGCAAGAGAAACATCACGCCAGTAGAATCGAGAGACGAAAAGTTATATCATAGCATACATTTTTTTTTTGGAGGAAAAAGGGCTGGTGGCGTGGCCAGTACTGGGCAGGCAAAACAGTGCGCAGCCAGTGATTGCCACACGAGGGGCAAACAACTTCGTCAAAATTTGAACACCGTTATTTTAAATTTACGTTATTTCACGTAATTTCATTGTCATTTCAACGTTATTTCAAGGGTATTTCAACGATATTTCGCTTGATTTCTTGTTCTTTCGCGTTATTTCACGCTATTTCGCGTTATTTCACGTTACTTCACCGTTATTTCATCGTTATTTCACCGTTATTTCAACTTTATTTCACCGTTATTTCACGTTATTTCACATCATTTTACCGTTATTTCAAGTTATTTCAAGGAAAATGTAACCAAAATTCAAGTTGTTTGCCCCTTGTTGCCACACAAGTGGTTTGACGTGGACTTTGCAGCGAGCGATGCAACGCCGTGCATATCCGTCTAGTTTGTTGCCTGCAATATCTTGTTTTTGGCCTGGTACCTCACTCCCTCTGTCTCATGGAAACCTGAATTCACTGTTACCATAGAAACTGTTCAGACACCGTACGTATTATAAAATTTGATTTAAAGTCCAAATTTCAAGTATGCGATAGAAGCAATTGGATTGCGGAAACGTGTTCACCTCAACAAGGTCAACAAAAAATGTAAAAAATGTTGTAGGTTCAGGGTATGTTTTCAGAAGATATCGGCATCAAAAGAGGGGAAAATATGCATTTTGTTTTCCCCTTTGGACACCGATAACTTTTGAATTTGAAGTCTGTACCTATAACTTTAACTATAACTGTAAATCGAATCCCTGGACCGGAAGTCAAAGAACAAAAGTACGAACCAAAACCGCCTCTGCGCAGAATTGTCCCCCCTTCACTCTGAGGCAGCGTCTGCGCAGAAACGGTTTTGGCTCGTACTTTTGTTCTTTGACTTCCGGTCCAGGGATTCGTTGAAATACCCTATGACCGTATCCTATCTGACTGTCGTGCCACCTCCCGGAAAAACGCCACGTTTCCCGAACGAAAATGGCAAGGACTATCCACGCAAGAGACTCCTGTCAATACACTTTCTTTGTTCCTTTAGCCGTCGCGGGTGAACGGTGGTGCATGCTCCAATCATCGATAGTGCCACTGTTACTCAAAAATAGCGACATTGGACCCTCAAGCTATCTAGATTTTAAGGCTTGTTTTGGCACTCGAGACTACTAAAGAGGAAACTTCATTACTAAGTTTATGTCCGTGGTAGGTCCGCCATGACGTCACTACGCTCTCCCTCCGAACTGTGGGCTTTCCTACTGCTGCTGGCTTTTAGTTACGTTCGAAGCAAAAACATCAACACCTTTGCAGTACGTATCACACTCATTGTATCAGGGTTCAGACAGGCCTGGGACAGGCATGGGAAGACAATGAATACTTTGTTACACAGCTACCAAAAAATGTAATGATACAGGGACTGCACCATTCCGATTGCCAGCGAAGAGGGGCTGGCAACTCGGTTCGATGGAAGGACGGGTCTCTAGCTTTTCCTAACACTTGCCAGGGCACGTCTCGCGAGACTTTGTCTTGTCCACTTGGAGCGAATGTACACCCTGTCGTCGAGTGGTTGTTGCGGGCGCGAGGGGAAACACTTTGTCGCCAGCTCACAAAACAGTGACCTTTGCTGCAGGGTCCGTACATCACCAACGTCCTCCGGGCTGAAAGCTGTCCGTCAGTAAACATTCAGTGGTCCGCACGGCTGAGCCACTTCAATCCCCAACGGCCGTACGACCTGCAGGTCCTTTCGGGAAAATTCAATATCTCGGAAGATTTCGGGGACAATTACGCGGTACGAAAAAGACTTTAAATTGGACACTATAATGCAGTCTAGCACCTTTCAGTGTGTACCACATCACCCTCACAAGGAGTGATTGAACCAATGGACTTGTCCTAACCAAAGACACACCAAACTGTGCCTAAAGTTTGTCAGAGCAAACCGGCAAAAAGTTATGAACATGATCTGTATCGCGTTGCTGACGAAAGTGACATAACAAGAGGTTAACCCTAACCTCCTCAGAAAGTAAGTGGTCGATGTGCATGTGCATTTCAGTTAAGTGTCTTTTTGGACAAGCGATCGAACAACCAATGGAAAGAGAATTTCTTCGTCTATAAGTTCGCCAAGGGGGGATGCTCCACGTTTCGCGAGCACATGCCTGGACTGTTCAATGCCGTGGTGAAAAACAGTGGCCTTGCTGTCAACAAGAAGACGACCTGCGCCTTGCCGCGGGTAAGTTCCACCCCTGCACCGCAGTAAAGATTTTGGTTGAAACTGACAATCTAAAGGCCTGTTTCTATTTTAAAAACTCCACCAAAACATTTCTTTGTGACATTGTCGCGCCCATGCAATAAGTAAACACCTTAACTTATTTCATTTCCATGACCCCAATTTTTTATTTTGTGACCAAATTAATTTCATTTCGTTATTTTTGTCACAAAACTCAAAGATGAGGTCAAGGACTCGAAGTGAAAGTGTTGGAATGGAATTTAAAAGTGGCACGAGGTATACTATCGATTGTATAAAGACTGTACACTTTCAAAATACCTTGAAAAGTGTCAAAAATAATTTTGCTTTGTTTACTCACACGCAACTGGAATCACAAATACTCAAAGTTGACGCGTCCCAACAGAATAATCATAACTGCCAGAGCATATCCAAGACAATCCTAACTGCCACAGCAGATGTAAGACAATCCTAGGAGTCAGTACAGATTTAGAACTATCTTAACAGCAAGGGACCGAAAAGTGTTTATAAACTATCTTAACTGCAAACAAACAAGTGGATCTCGATATCTCTGAAATGCAATGCTCACGTATTTATAAGGATGAAACTTTGTAACAAGCCCTCCGGCGAGTCATTTTATGAAATGAGTTGGCGTCACAGACTGAAAGAAGAGACCGCCTTTAAGTTAGAATAGTTCTGAATCGACACTACGTTAGGATTGTCTTGGATCTGCTCTTAGGAATGTCTTGAATGAAACTACTCTGGCAGTTAGGATTTTTCTATTGAAACGTGTCAAAGTTTGAAATTCCCCCAAAAAATATAGTTTTACATTGTTGACAGGGGAACTTCGTCGTGAGGAATGAATCAGTGGACTGGAGCTTCCCCAGCGCTCCAATCATGCCTTACGGGCGCTACCGGTTCCGATTCGTTTTCCAAGTTGCCAACGACACTGACAGAACCCACATGTGTGGCCTCGTTGAGTGCATTGCCATCCCAAAACCATAGAGTTCGCCATCAATCAAATTATTCGTTGGAAACCCTGGAACTCAGCACAAATTCGCTCTGATCTTAATACACATTCACATTGAATCGATGAGGTAGGAGAGGGGTTAACTCAGTTTTCATGGTTTTTGAGAGAAACGAAATCCTGTGTGCAGGAAAAACTGAAAATAAAGAAATTACTGACGCAGATAAATTTTTTTAACGAAGTTAAGTAATGGGTGTGAAAAGTTTCGAAAGGGATTTGAATTTTGATTTACAAGGTAGGTATAAGACCGTATCAACAGGCTTCGCGATGCTGCGCCAGTGCCACTTCCGACAATATACCCTTACAGTCGTTGCTGAGTGAACAACAAGTGTAATCAAAACACCAGGAACCACTCGTAACGTACCTACTGGCTCCTGGCTTTTTGATTTATCGTATTCCTATGCGATCACGTCTACCTTCGCCCAGCGTTCACACTTCGAGGGATCCTATTCAAAAGATCTTATCTGGGTGTTCCCCCCAAGAAATCTTATCTTAACGCAGGCAAATTTCACTTAGTTTGATCATTTGATACAGCTACAAATCAATATAATTTAAATTATATAATAATAAGAGGAAGCGGAATATATTTCTTCTTGCACTATTGGATTCTTTGACCTTTCATTTCATATTTCAGTGAATTCAATTGTGAATTGAGTTCAGTGAATTCAATTCACAATTGTGATTTAATTCTCTCGTACCCGTCCCAATTGGTCAAACTGACTGAAATTCACCTGCGTTTAAGATAAGATTGTCTTGGGGGAACGCCCAGATAAGATCTTTTGTATAGGACCCCTCGACTTACCCTTGCCTGCGACGCTTAGCCCGCCTAATTCAGCACGTCGGTTTGTACACATTCCGATGCCTGGCAAAGGAGGCTGATGGAACTGGCGGAAGTCCCTGAGTACGGAAAAATTAAGATACCGCAAACCCCTTTGCACCAAAGTGTAGATAAACAAGGTAGGTTTACGCCAGACCACGTCTTGTTGTAACAGGCTTCGCGATGTCTCGCGGCCTGTTCCTCCAATCTGCGCCTGGCGTACCCACCTTGGCCTGCGGCGCTAGCCTGCCTTCGGCAGGCATTGGCTTGTCCATCATCGGTTACTTTCTTACTTGTTTCATGCTGGGGGCGGGACCCCCTTCATTCTAGATAGAGTTGCTTCATCTACAGATAACACGATCTTGACCCTTGAAACTTTTTAACTTGTGGAGACTGGGGGACTCCACCCCCCAGACCCCACTTTCTTTAAAACAGAAGTGATCTGCCTGCAGAAAACTCGATTTTTCGCCGTTTTTTAGGTGTTTTTCGCCTATAAAAACTGAACCACGTGAGCTACGATAGTGAAATTTCGCGTGTGCCGAGCCAAGAACATACCTAATAAGCCTGCAAAATCTCAGCCAGATCGGCCGAGCCGTTCAGGAGGAGTAGTGTACTATGCGTGACAAAAGTAAGCGACCCCTCCGGCCGGGACTGGCGATATCCCGCGCCCAGGCCGCTGCCGAGACAGGCGGACTCCTCGGCAGATGGACCGACGCAGGGCTGCGCTGTTATCAAACTATCACTGCAGGTGCCGTGAGGGGGAGGGGGGCAGCATGTGCCAAAGTGCAGAGGCAGAGGACCCGGCCTGTGGCCTGGGAAGTCCGATGCGCAGGCAACTGGACTTGGTCTGGAATTTCGGTTCAAATTCTAGAATGCAAATTTTCTAGGGCGTTATTTTGACATGTTGGGAATGTTGGCCACTGTATTGAGGACTCAATTTTCGACTTATACATGTAAAAATTAATTTGAAGTGGCTATCGCACGAACAACAACCATGAACAAAGGTCAATTATAAAATGCAAATTTCATCCAAAACCAATTTTTGAGGATTTTGCAGAAACGATGAAAACAATTTTTTTTGTATTTTTTTTTACTTTTGATAGCAACATGATTTTGGTTGTAGTTCATGCGATAAGCCAAATCCATTACATACATTTTGACGCGAACATTGTGGTATCTTAATTTTTGTGGACAGGGACTTCCATTTCGATTTTTGACGAAACTTTGATTAGCAGCTGCTCTGCTCCCTGACGTTCGATCTACGCCATTCAGCGCTTAAAATGCACGTTTTCTTAAGGTCTAAAAACATGAAAAGTTTTAACAACGTGGAACGACGCGCATGGGAGCAATGCCACATGTCAGTTTTCGGCCATTTTCAGTGTCTTGCCCCCTTTCAAAAACGCGAAGGCCCCTCCATTCAGTTCCAATCCAAACTGACAGCCCCAAGACAGCCCCTACTCTGAACGTCTGCCGCAAAACCCTTTATGGCGGTCGGTGGTCTACCAGTGACATCCGTAATGGCCCCAACGAAGATGTTTGGATAAAGGAAAGCATAGAAAGCAACCTGAGCTGCCCCTGCCGGCTTTGACGTTCGTCACAACAGTCGCCCCTCCACCCCAGTGCAGCCGTGCTAACTTGTGCCTCAAAAATATTCACTGGTGTAAATGCCATCAGGATTTTCTGATTGAATTTCTGATTTCCAATCAGGATATTTTCTGATTGGAAAATCCTGATGTATTTTCGCGCACCTCTGATTGATGATTCCTGATTGGTACCAGTTCTGATTGACTATTTCTGATTGTGTTTTTTTCTGAGTGGGCAGTTCTGATTGGTAAGACAACTTCAAACATCGGTAATATGACCGTGCCGGGGCACATTCTAAATTGATGATAACTTCTCTGGGGGGTCAAAACTGAGTCCGATCCAAATCTGAAGTCCGATTTTCGATAGCTCGTGATCAGGCCTCGATATGCCACTAAAGATGATCCGATGTGTATGAAATTAAAATGGCCCTAGTCAAATCGGCTGAACATGTCACATACCAAATTTGAAACCGATATCGCAAATACTTTCCATTTTATAGGCATCTGTACTTTGACACCATCAAAATTTCCTGATGTTCTTTCTGATTTCTGAGCGGCAATCAGCAATCAGTAAAGCAGTCAGAAATTTTCTGACTGTCAATCAGAAATCAAAAATCAGGAAATTTCTGATTGGCACTCAGACATCAGAAATCAGGAATTTTCTGATGTCGGTACTCAATCAGGATCTTTTTTCTGATTGACAATCAGAAATCAGAAAGAATTCCTGATTGACAGTCAGAAATCAGAAAATCAGTCAGGAAAATCCTGATTTCTGATTGGAAATCAGAAATTCAATCAGAAAATCCTGATGGCATTTACACCAGTGTTTGCCGCGTACGTGCCGGCCTTGCCAGCAGTCGTCCCTCCACCCCGGTGCTGCCATGTCCTTCCGCCGCGCCACGCTGTGCCTCTGGGTGCTCGGCTTCACGGTTCCCACCTGCCTGACCCGCATCCCGGTCAAGCTGCACGGCAGTCGAGTGCAAGCCTTGTCGCTGACAGTGCTGCTCACCACGTGGACCTGCTTTTACCTCCTCGACGTCACGCTCTTGGCGGTGGTTTGGGAAAGTAAACGCGTGGCGGCCTTCCTTGCGATCATGTACGCCTTGGAAGGCCTGGCCTACGGATGTCGGCGGGGAGACGTCGCTGAACTGCTGCGCTGCCTGTGGGCGAACCTCGAGGTGCACCCACCGAGTGCTGCACGGTGGCGCACCTTCTTCCTGGTCACGACCATCACGGCCCTCTCCAGCGCGGTTCGCACTGCTTTCCTCGTCAAGAGGTCACTACGGAACTTTGTGGAAAGAAACAGCTTCAGTTTCGTGGCTCTCTGGTCCCGCAACTCGCTACGCCTAGTCGTAGGCATCTGCATGAATCTGCGCCTCGTGTGTCCGCTGCTCGTCATAAGTTGCGCGGCGGCCGACCTGCGCGCCGAGTGCAGCAGACTGGTGCGTGCGGCGCTGAAGGACGGCCGCCTGGTCGACGGATTCAAGTGGCGAGCGCTGCGCCAGCGGCAGTTCCTCCTCCACGACATGCTCCGCCAGTGCAGCCACGCCAACGGCGGCGCCGTGTTGTTGGCGCTGGCTTTCATGCTGTTGATCGTCTCACCCTTCGAAAGCAACTTTACCACTTTATACAATAATGATTATTTCACAGCATTGGCCTGCCACGGCTTGCTAATTATGCCGTTGCTAGTCATCATTACTTTGTGTCAGTGGGCAGCACTTGAGGTAACTCAGTTCACACTATTTTCGGAGGAACGCTATGGTGAAGTTGTCAGATGACGCTGCAGCAAAATAGAAAGAGCTCAAAAAAAATTTGCTGCATTTAATTTTAACAATACACAGTAAAATTGTTATTATAGAAACGTTACTTTCGATAAGAGACAAGACTATTCGTACGTAACTTCAGTTCAGAATAGTTTGAGAGCAAAAGATTCGTTTCCTATGATAATCTAAAATCTTTTGTGCTATATAACTGCGGAGCAGACTAAAAGAGCTTTGATTAGAATTAACAACGACAGTAGAATATACAAGTTTGATGTAAGAGTTTAAACAAAAATTTCTTTCAACCAAGTAAATAACTTTTCGTACACAAGTGAGAGATTTTACTTAAAGTAATTTGGGAACCACAATCAATTTCAATTTAAAAAAACTTTAACAACCAAGTTTTATTTTGTGTAACTCTATATCCATCGTCGTTGTATTTGACATTTGACAGAAGAAGTACTTGATATTTGACAGAAGAAGATAATACGAGAAATTTAAATGATTTATGGGTTCTAATCTTGAATCGCATTCAGGAACCATGTTTTTTCTGCCGCAGTTCGATGCAATGGGAGGAGCTCACTAGCCTTTACATTGACCACCGAGAAGTGTTTGACCAGGCTGCTGAGAAAGAAGTAAGAAAATTCTTCTTTAGCCTTCGTTTAAGGGGGGACATCACTCCGAAAACAGTGCTTTTGTAAAATCGTCATAAAAACCAAACGGGAACAGAAAAATTGTTCATATTTTAAGAGATAAAGTATAAAACAACACTAAGTCAATCCGCCAAGGCAGTACAGCGCTTTCGTTGAAAACGCATTTTTGAGTGTTAGGTTAGACCATTTCGCACGGTTGCTGCGCTGGACGCCAAACGGTTTGACCTAGATCAACGTAATTTGGTGACAGCCTTCCTGAGATGTCTGGCTATGGTGGGTACCTCAATCACATTTAAAAAATCATTTAAAGTTCTATTTGTTTCATGCGAAAAAAAAAATGGTTCAATTTTTTGGGTCAAAATTGTTCAATTTTGAACGGTTAATAAATAATAAAAGTTGACCAATGCAAACTATTTTGCTACCCACCATAGCGGCATGTCGTAGGAGCTTCCATGCTAAATCTCCCCGCTGTAGCTCAAAAACTGCGCCCTAGAGGCCTGCAACCGTTTGCAATTTCATGTTCCGAGAAAAACGCGATCAAAGTTGGGGAAACTGGGCTTTTCCCCTATGCATGTTTGCGGCGCACAACCTCCTAAAACTGCAATTTTTTGAACTTCGGAATGCGGTTTTCGCCATTCGACGCAGAAAAGAATGGTCTATAGTATAAACTAATAAAAAAAAGTTGTGATTTTTTATCATTTTGGAGTGATGTCCCCCCTTAAGTTTAGAAAGTTGGTTTCATTTGTTGTGTGGACGTCCTTCAGTTGCAGTGGCTACTTAGATGCATCCACCATTTCCAGGACAACCGGTTCAACGTTGCCGGCATTTGCCACTGCGACATAGAGTCTGGCACACAAGTAAGGAATGCTTAATAGTATCTGCGACTGTTGTGTTAAACGGTGTATAACAATAACATACAAGACACATTAGGTTCTAAGCTCAGGTTCAGAAAGAAGTTTGAACCGATCAATGTAGGACGATGAAGGTCAACTCAAACTTCTAGAATGTCCTGTTCACCGACAGTTCCAAGTCCAAGCTTTCTCCCACTTACTGTTTTTTCTTAAAAGAAGGATTTTGCAGATTAATTTACCAATATTTCGTGTAAGAAACTCTATACTGTATGTGCTGCGCTTCTGCCTTGCTTTGTTCTAAATCCGATCCGAATAGGCAGAAAAATTAAAATGATTACTAAACACAGTTTGATCTACCCAACCTTTCCTTGTTAAATCAGAAAACAATAAATGATATAAATAATTATACATTTTATGCCACAGTATCCATAGCTCTATCCAATCAAAAATGTTAAAAGAGAAAACCACCGCGTCTGGGCGCGTTCTGCACCTACACGGGTTTCCTCTTGTTAATATGCTGCTACTTACACAGTTTCAAAAAGTTTGAAAAAACATTAAGAGGCGTACACCGACAGACCACCTTATCAGCATTACTTTGTTCCAGGCGCTCCTTGCAGTTGCCATGTACTTTTTTACCTACAAGCTGCACGAGTTCAACTGATGAAGCAGCTAACGGAACCATAAGTCTGTCCAAAGTTTCAGGCACGCTTTGATTTATAATTATTGTACCGTTCGCAAAGTTTTGTTTTATTTTTTAACAGATGTTTAAGTGTTATGCACTTCTCACATTATTCGTATCTAACACCGAAATTCGAATAAATGTCATGAAATTGGTGATTGGTTAGAATTTTCAAGTGACACTCCCAAAACCCCCGCTCCCAGACAATGAGATGACAAATTTTCACATTGCCGGAAAAATTTAATTTTCCTGGTTTCTAAACTCAAATAAGAGGAGATATCAGCACAAGTTCCGTTCTTGTCTTTACAATTTCATTTTTAGGGAGGAACGCAACCTTTCCATACGCACACCTTTTGAGTATCCAATGCATCGTAGTGGCCCCGGAAGAACGTTATCGGGGACCTCAATAAGGCGTCGCCGACGACGTCACCCAAATTTGGGCGACTTTTTTATGACTGCCCAAAATTTGGTCACGGCTGCCTCGTCACCCAAATTTGAGCGACGATGCGTGTGTCACGTCACCCAATGAAACGGCAATGGTGGTGACTCTTTCATTCTCAGTGTACCGTCGTGCGTCAGATGTTCATTTGAAAAAGCGAACCCCACCAAGCGTGCCGATGTCCCACCCAAAACGCCGAGGCTTCTCCATTCAGATTCACCAAATTGACAGCCCGTGAGGCAAATAGATGGTAAATGAATGTCACTGTCCATTCCCTGCCCCGAGTCCCTTTGCAGCTGACGACTTCAATGGACATCAGCAACGCCTCAACCCAGAAACGTTCCGATAAGAGATCTCTGCCGTACAGCAGGCCATAGCAGTCATCCACGGAGAAAAAAAGTTAGTTGTGACAACGAAAAAGTTAGTTAATTTTTCCGGAGCAAAATAAGTTGGTTATGACAACAAACTTTTTTCTTGCCGTCGCAACGTTACGAAGATTACTAGTTGAAACAAATTTGTAGCTTCAAGGAACGAGAAACACTTGCTGCTGTAACTAGTTTCTTGACTTCAAGAGCGATTGAGTTTTAGTCCTGAGAACGAAGCCAATATTGTTCTGAAAGCAAATATATTGGCTCATGTAGGCAAAGCTACAAGTAATGAGTTCGACGAGGGACGGAACTGAGTCACGTGATGTGCAGGTTCTCTACAGATGTGGTTATAATTGAAGGTGCGCGTCCCCGGGGAGACCAAGCATGTAAAAGTTGATCAGTACAACCGACTTACAAAATCTAAACGGGCGGAGGTGAATGGAAAGATCCGACCCATCAAAGGATGCAGCGAAGTCATGACTACTTCAGCTACACATGAACGTGAAGTGGGTCTCACGGCAAAACCAACGTCCGGGTTTCCCAGGAGTTTCATGTAATTTCCAGGCGGGCCGATGTATTTCCAGGCATCAGTCTGGTTCCTTCGGAACTTTTCCAGGCGCTCCCTGGGAACCATGCTGTCTTTTCCAGGCGCGGCCTGGGAACCGTGTAATTTCCAGGCTGCACCTGGATAATAATTTCCCTTCCCGGTGCATCGCCTGGAAATACATGCGCAAGGTTCGGGGATCGCTCGTATTCCTCCCATTCATTCCATTTCAGTTTAAATTTGCTGTAGTTGGGCGAATGAAGTCGTACAATCGCCCCCGACACCTTCAATGGGCGCGTGAGAGGGAATGCCAAAACGAAGCAGCTGTTTAGGCGGTGTTGTTGTTGATTGTTTTGTTGTTGTTGTTGTTGGGAGTGCAAGGCGGACTGCGGCGCGGCGGTAGTCTGGTATGTTGGAAACCAAGCTTTCTCTGCTTTGATTCAAAGACAGCTAATTTGTTTTCGTTCGTGTCCTTCTCTGCTTGTTTTATCGATGCAGAAGTGTGTATGAATCGAAAAAGCATCTCACCTGTACTCACTATTACCATGATTACCTTTGTGCTTGTATGTAGCCTAACCTCTGCGAACTTGGCGCGTAGCTTCTCTTTGTCGTTTCTGTTGCCTTCTGACCTTCTGGCTCGGAGCATATGAATAGTTTATATTTCTAGTGACTGACTAGAGACGCGAGCCTCAGAAACGCCTCAGTCTTCTCCTTTGTTCTCAAAATCTCATTCAGTTTATTTGCTTTGCTTTAGCTCATCACTTCTTCTTTTTCAGAAACTAGGTTCACTTTTTCATGTATTCTAATCGTTGGTTTGTTTGCAGGTATGGGATTGGATCATTGCTGCATTTCATCACTGCTGATTTGATCACTTGATGCATCACTTCTTTTGCCGACAAGTGTCAAATCTCATCACTCCCTGAGGTATGTTCATCTGGCTTGTCCAGTTTCCGTTTGAGCATAGATCTTAGATTTTGTATCGGTCAAGTACCATCAAGAATTAGCTTCTTGGTCTCTCACACTGAATGACATGACAAAAACCGAAGAGTCTCCTTGCCAATGTCAAACACCGAAGCAATAATTTGAGAACAACCTTCAATGTTTTATGTCCATTCAGTTTGACGGATATCTAAAGCTTTCAGACCAGAGTAACCTCGGGCTGAGCAACGCCCATCTAGTTTGTCACATAATTTATCGTCTTTTTGCTCCCAGGTTCCACTGTTTAATGTGTGATTCTGGGTGGCCCCTTTATCCGATTCCCTCTGGCGACCCTGCCTGGTCTGCTTTCCTGCGGTGGACTGCGGACTGTGGATACCACTTGTTTACATTGGGTGAGTTATTAAGTTTTTGCTGTAAATGGATGTTTTAAGAGGACGACAGTGGTCTTTTAGTCTCTTGGTTTATTTTCAATCCTGTTTGTTTTTGTTTGTTGCAGTTTTTTTAAATTTTTCATTGTTGCCTGAGAGTAGCCAAACCCTCGCCTTCCATCGTCTTTTCTTGTGATTGATTGGTGTCCCTCTGGACTGACGACACTGCTTGGTCTGCTTTCCTGCGGTGGACAGCGGACTGTGGACACACTTGTTTACATTGGGTGCGTTGTCAAGCTTCTGATGTAAATTGATGTTTTAAGAGGATGATAGAGGTCTTTTAGTCTCTTTGGTTTGTTTACAATCCTGTTTGTTTTTGTTTGTTGCAGTTTCTTTTCTAGCTTTTTCATCTTTGCCTGAGAGTAGCCAAACGCTGAATGTGGAGTTCACTCTCGCCTTTCATCGTCTTTTCTTGTGATTGATTGGTGTTGTGTATATATTTTCTTGGAAGAATTTAAATAAACCATTTCTGTGTTAATTGTTGTTGTTATTCTATTACAATAATGCTTCTGTTAGAATCAAAGGAAAAGTTTAAGATTACAACCAATTATGACTTCAAGTTGGCCTGGAAGTATCACATTTATTTGCCAATGATAAACTATTTCCATAAAAAAAATATTTTGAAACATTGAGATACTTAAAACATAAAGCTATGTGGGCGTCAGTTTCTTACAAATTACTTTAACTAATACGAATTATCTTTGGTCACATATAGCTAAGGGGAATAAATTAAGCTGAGCGGTGTGGGAAGCTCTTGTCTGACTCTTATAATATTAGGTACAGGACAAATTTTGCTAACTTTAAACACTAAATAACAAAGTGCTATAATCTAGTAACAAATAAATATCACAGTAAAAAATGATTCCAAGTGTAATTTCACTTCACCTCTTAATTGTACACACAAAACAGGTTTTAGCATACCTGGCAAATTCATGAACCAATGCGCTTGGTAGATTATCCTACAAAAGAAAAAAAAGAAAGCTTGCCTCTTTTATAGATTAGTATAAGAATGGTGAGATAGGAGCAAAGCGAATGAGATTAAAAGAATAGAATTAATGAGAAACTGTGGCATCTGATAAGAAAATAAATGTTACATAAGGATCTCAGTTTAACTCAACACAGAAGAATGTGATGAAGAATTAAATTAGCAAATCACAGCTTTCTCTGCCATGTTAGCATGGGCAGTTACAAAGAGAGCAGTTGAAGTCAAGGACAGAACAATGTGCTCGGTAAATTAAATTTAAAAAAAAAACAAAAAAAAAAAAAACAGCTTGCCTATTTTATAGATTGGTATGAAAAAGATGAGATGAAAGCCAACTGAATGAGTATAGAAGCAGAGAAACATTGAAAAACTATCAACAACAAAAAAAATAAAATATCACATAAGGATCTCAGTTAAACTCAACCAAAAGAATGTAATGAAGAATTAGCAACGCGCAGCTTTCTCTGCCATGTTGCAAGGGCAGTTACAAATAGAGCAGATGGAGTCAAGGACAGGGCAATGTGCTTGGAAAATTTAATTTAAAAAAATAAAAATAAATACAGCTTGCTAATTTTATAGATTAGTATGAAAAACATGAGATGGGAGCCAACTGAATCAGTAAAGAAGCAGAGAGTTGAAAAATACCAGCAACAATAAAGAAAATAAAATATCACATAAGGATCTCAAACTCAACAAAAAAACAATGTAATGAAGAATTAGCAGCTAGAAGCTTTCTCTGCCATGTTTGTGAGAGCAGTTAAAAATCGGGCAGTGGAAGGCAAGGGTGTTTTTATCCCATACAGATACTAAAAAATAATCAAAAATTGTGGTTCTAAGATATGGATGGTACTTAACATTGAAGACATGGTGAGCCTTGACAAATATATCAAATGCTTTGATGAAAAAATCTGGATCTTCTCCACGAGCAACCAGAATACAGATTTGATCTATCTTAAGGTAGATCAGTCCTTTTGTGTTGTCATTACTGAGCCAGAGAAGAAATGGGAAGTTTGGGGGTGGATTGCTCTGACGCAATTGGGTGGGTTTCCACAGATCTGTAATTATCAGGATCTGTTCCTTCCTGCAACAGAAAACAAAATTAGTAGAAAACCATAACATCCTTTTTTCTTATCTTCATGAAACTGTAAAACTGTAACCATACAGGGGCGATTTGAATAATGGCACTGCTTGGAATGGAGTCTGCAATGGTCGGCCTGAATGTTCTAACATGTTCTAACTCATCCGGAGACGCTGTGTTCTTATTCAATGTTACATTAAGAAGTTTGGAAAGCAAAATTAATGCTCTTACATTATCTGGAATAAAAAGCACAAAAGCATTTTAGGCTGGAAGAGGTTGAAAAAAATATAGCAGTGGGCATACCATTGGGAAAATTTTTGTTGAAACCTTTTCCGCTAGCTGTGGCTTGGTGTTTCTAGCATATTGCAGTATGTATGGTGAAATACGATTAAATTTTAGTGCAGCATCATCATGCAATACTTTGATCCTTTGAAATTCCTCAGATATCTGTAATAATAATTCATTGTACTAAAATATAAAAGGAACTCAGCAGAATTTTTCATTTATGAACTGAATAAAAGCGAAACACCATTGCTCCTTCAAAGCTCTGCAAGTGTTTATATGTGAGAAGAACTTCTGTCACAGATGGTTTATCGTTCAAAATCCAATTCCTTCTATGATGAAATGTTTGATTAAGGGCTAGACTTATCATTTGCCGTTCTGAGTTGTTGGAAGTAAATGACCCATAACTAATATCTAAAAAAAAAAAGGGGGATAAAAGGAACTCATTTTAAAAGGGTTTAAAAAAATTTTTAAGACCAAAATAAGAATTTTTAGTGTTACCTGCTCTTGAATACTTTCATCACTATCTAAAGCTTCTTGAGAAGCCTTGGAGGTTGAAGCTCTTGGCGTTAATGTCTTTGGGGTTGAAGATTTTGAGGATGATTTTGATGGAGTTCTCTTAGGAGTCTTTCTAGGGGTTGAACTTGACTTTTGATTTTTCTTCTGGTCAGGTCGTAGTTTAGATTGTACTGTTTCAAATTTTGTCTTCACAACTTCGAGCCAAGAAACCTTGAAATAAAATTTAAATAAAAGATTAGAAAAACAAATAATCTTACATCATTGAACGGCATTTTTACTTTTAAATAATCAAATTTTGGGTTACCCAGGGGCAATCGTTCTTCTTATCAGCAAGTTCTGGAAAGCCGCACACAATTCCTTTAGCCATTGCGATCTTTGTATTTGTAAGAGGATAACTAAAAACAAAATTATAAAAGAAAGTAACATTAGTATAAAGTACAATACAATACTTAAGTTTGATTCCATGATTTGAACTTACTATTTTACTGGACTCTCTTTTCCTTCACAAAAATTTTTCGTACAAAATTCGCATCATAACAATTTGATGGGTCATATCACACCTCTCATTTGTCTTAATAAACTCTATGACCTTTTGGCCTTCATGGGATTGATCCAGAATAGAAAGTACATCCATTGGTTCCTTCAATAAAAAAAGAAACAAACATAAATGCATTTTGGAGTTGAGTGGGTTAACAGGTTAATATAATGGTTTGCATGAGAGAGAAACATACAACATCTTCTGCTATAGTCTTGGGCTTTTTCGCAGCATCACTTTTTCGGCTCCTCTTTTTCAGGAAAGAGGCACTTACACAAGGAGCCAGTTCAAGTTCTTGCGAGTTTTTTGAACAGGGCTTTAATTGCCCATTTACATCAACTAAGCTTGCAGTGTGTAACACCCCTAACATAAGGAGAGAAAATGTGAGAATAATACAAAATATGTTAACCGGAACTTTGGTGAATAAACTTCAAGAAAAATTTGGAAAGCCCTTACTAAGTCATCTTCTGCTTCTAACACTGGCACATCAGCTGAATTAGGTTTTTTGATTTTAATAAAAGTTGCCTCACTCTGTAGCTCACCACCGTAATTAAATAAATTTTGAATAGCTGTCCTTTGATCAAAACTTAAGTTAGGAAAATTGGAAATTAGAGATTCCTCAGTAAATTCTAGGAAAGCCTCGCCGTCCACTTCTTCATCTGCAACAAGTCAACATTTTTAGTTAAAAATAAATTAGGCTTCCAAATGAGATATATTAGCAACTCAAAGTATGAATACATACTCAGTAAGTAAATTATGTTTTCAGCTGAGATATCAGTACATTTCTCTTGTAAAAACAATGAAAGACCTTGTGGGTTCAATGACTTAAAATAAGATATATCAAAAACTTCAAATGATTCACAATTAGTTTCTGGATTAAATATAAAACTTTCTTTGGATTGCTGGATTTTGCTAATGATTTTGAGACACTCTTTTTTTTGCCCAAAAGTAAGGTTTGGGGAAAACCTTACGGAGAGATTCATCAGTCAATTCCACAAAAAGCTCTCCATCAACATCTTGATCTGCAAAAAAAAAAAAAACACATTATTAACAATGATATTCAAGGAGCAAGTATCTAACAAATTTAACGACCCCCTCCCATTCCATTCCATTCCAAACATAAAACTTATTACAGCATGCCACTAACCAATTAATAAACCTTGTACTTAAGGCAGAGGTAAGTCTGATTAGACGAGTAATCTCTCCACTCACAAATGGCAGGGTGAGTTGGTAAGTCTTTAACATCGATCAAGTGGGTGGGAGCATTCTCTCGCATTGTTACAGCATAAGCATTGAATCTCTCAACCAAACCATCTGTATTCCATGGTTGCAGAGCAAACCATGTGTAATCAGTACCATCAGGGCATATTATTTCAAGAATTTTCCCAAACCGAGGCCGCCCATCAACATTCTCAGATGCCCTTTCTATACAAGAGAAATTCTTCAACTCTATACACAAAACCCCCCCACTGTCACAGACGTAACGGTACTGATTTCATCATTATCATGAAATCCTAGAGCTCGCAGCTGGGGTCTAGCAGAGGATGCTCCAACAGAAATATTTTCTCTCCCAGAAAATGATCTCACATATTCTAAATTTTCACTCTGTGTGCCCCATACTTTAGATACACGAATTTGAGCCTGTTCCATGGCAGTCTTTGGAGGGTTCTTGAAATTGTTGGTGATGGCAACGTGCCTTTTCAGGGGACAATTTTTCCCTTCCTCCTTAAAGCACCAGAATTGCCGTTGAGGTCCTTTCTTTAAAGTGTTTTCACAAATGTGCATGAGATCGTGAAACCTATTGATGGGAGGAACATTTTGGGAAAAAAGACATACCAAGTCAATCTAAATGTTTCAACTAATCTTCTTAAAAATGGCTCCACAGACCTTGGCATTCTGGGAGCACTAGAAATCTGGAAAATTTCTGACAGTAACAACAAAATACTGAAGGTGCTCATTATCATCATCAATGCCATTACGACCTATGTTGTCTAAGAGAAAAGGAAGGGCACGAAATAGGACCATTATTTGAGCAGCATTCATCTTTTGAGAGTGCACAGTGTCAGCATTGTTGAGTGATTCATAGGTAAAGTTGGGCTGAGGTCTATCCCTGGCATTTTGCCTCCCTAAGTTATAAGCGAAAATTCTTTGATTCAACTCTCCTACATCAAACAAGTTGTCTGTGCACACAAACTGCTTGAGGCACAATCGAATAACCATAATAATAACACCTTCCGGTCCATCATGGAGCAAGTCAAAGCAGCAGTTATTTTCCAATCTAAAATAAGCACTATCATGTAAACATGTTCGGTATCTTAACCCACAATTGGTGCTGTAATCAGGGTTTTCCTGCACCCTCTGCAATTGCAGGTCTGTCATAGCTGGAGTTCGATTTTCCCCCACTGCAATCTGTCCAAGGTGCAGCTCCTGCCTGGAAATCATGCACTGGGCACAAAAGTGACGTGCACCACATCCCAAAAGGCCTAGCATTTCATGCACGGCTTTAGAGTCACCTTTAACAGCTACAAGTGTCCCTCTCAGTGTCATGAAACCCCTATTCACAAAGACTCTGACGCCTTCTTCCAATTGACGCAGCTCTCTAACAAATTCGCTTAGAACTCCGGCAAATGTCCCTTGGCAATCCATAGCATTGGCCATCACTACTGGAAAAATGGAATCACCAGAATAGAACAGTTCAGGGGGGAGATTTAACAGGATAACACAAAAGTGGTACACTTCATGTAGTCCACTTTTTGGACCAGCCATTCTGGCTGGGTCCACACCATCTCCATAAAGCACCATCTGAAATGCATCCGGGTACCTGAGAAAGAATGGGTGGTTACGGAACTCATCACCATCTGTAAATCCTGCCAACATTCCATCTTCAGAGGGGCGACGATTTCTTATGTACTCTAATACATTGCGCTTTCTGACCACCATCTTCAGGAATTCAATTATTGAAGCATATTGGTAAGTGTTTGGAACAGGTAGTAAGCCATAAGCATTATTATTAATGAGCCTTTGATCCAGGCGATTGTCAACAAAAATCGATGCAGGCTGTACATAGTGGTAATATTTTTTAATCCCAGATATTTGACCCTTATTAGACCTGATGCCATTAAAGGGTTCGGTGTTTGAAAATTGATCAAGAAGATTTTGAGCTCCAGGGTCATCCAGCTGCCCTAATCTTTGTAGATATTCAGTGACATCTTCCCTGAGAGACAAGTTATTGACTTTGAGAACAAGCTCAGCACCTGCCATGGCCTTTCTGACACCTACACGAGTCATTGCTGCTACACTTCTCATTCCCAACACCATATTCACAGCTGCATTCTTAATGTCCCTTCTTCCATTTGGCAGTACTTGCAAAGCAGCAATGTTCTCATCTTCCTCCTCCTCCTCAGAGGATGATAAACCATCATGCAATGAAATGTTATCATCGATTTCCATGTTTACCAGTGCAAGGAAGCAAACACTACTAATGCCCTTTACCAGAAAAAAAATAAAAATAAATAAATAAGGCACAAAAAGCCACAAGGTAACGATTGCTTACACAAAAATTTAGAAGCCTGTAACAAATAAGAAGGAAGAAAAGTACAAACCGAAGAAATATTTTGCTGTTTCTTGTCTAACTCCAAGAGAGATCAAATATTTTCTAAGATCATCACATGTAGTGAGACGCACCAGATTGGACTCCATTCTCAAAAATTAAATCATCAAATGTAAACCCTGAAAAAGAAAAGATAATTAGAGGAAAAAATTTTAAAGCCCTTGCTCAGAGCCAGAAGGCAACACAAAGGCAAATAATAAGTACATCTAGGACTGTCAAATATTGTGTGGCATACCAAAAACAAAACAAAGAGACACCAGGAGACCACTTCCATCTATCCGCTCTCAGACAAGAAACCGAATCCAAAGTTTAAAGAAACTGCAACAAACAAAAACAAACAGGATTGTAAACAAACCAAAGAGACTAAAAGACCTCTATCATCCTCTTAAAACATCAATTTACATCAGAAGCTTGACAACGCACCCAATGTAAACAAGTGTGTCCACAGTCCGCTGTCCACCGCAGGAAAGCAGACCAAGCAGTGTCGTCAGTCCAGAGGGACACCAATCAATCACAAGAAAAGACGATGGAAGGCGAGGGTTTGGCTACTCTCAGGCAACAATGAAAAATTTAAAAAAACTGCAACAAACAAAAACAAACAGGATTGAAAATAAACCAAGAGACTAAAAGACCACTGTCGTCCTCTTAAAACATCCATTTACAGCAAAAACTTAATAACTCACCCAATGTAAACAAGTGGTATCCACAGTCCGCAGTCCACCGCAGGAAAGCAGACCAGGCAGGGTCGCCAGAGGGAATCGGATAAAGGGGCCACCCAGAATCACACATTAAACAGTGGAACCTGGGAGCAAAAAGACGATAAATTATGTGACAAACTAGATGGGCGTTGCTCAGCCCGAGGTTACTCTGGTCTGAAAGCTTTAGATATCCGTCAAACTGAATGGACATAAAACATTGAAGGTTGTTCTCAAATTATTGCTTCGGTGTTTGACATTGGCAAGGAGACTCTTCGGTTTTTGTCATGTCATTCAGTGTGAGAGACCAAGAAGCTAATTCTTGATGGTACTTGACCGATACAAAATCTAAGATCTATGCTCAAACGGAAACTGGACAAGCCAGATGAACATACCTCAGGGAGTGATGAGATTTGACACTTGTCGGCAAAAGAAGTGATGCATCAAGTGATCAAATCAGCAGTGATGAAATGCAGCAATGATCCAATCCCATACCTGCAAACAAACCAACGATTAGAATACATGAAAAAGTGAACCTAGTTTCTGAAAAAGAAGAAGTGATGAGCTAAAGCAAAGCAAATAAACTGAATGAGATTTTGAGAACAAAGGAGAAGACTGAGGCGTTTCTGAGGCTCGCGTCTCTAGTCAGTCACTAGAAATATAAACTATTCATATGCTCCGAGCCAGAAGGTCAGAAGGCAACAGAAACGACAAAGAGAAGCTACGCGCCAAGTTCGCAGAGGTTAGGCTACATACAAGCACAAAGGTAATCATGGTAATAGTGAGTACAGGTGAGATGCTTTTTCGATTCATACACACTTCTGCATCGATAAAACAAGCAGAGAAGGACACGAACGAAAACAAATTAGCTGTCTTTGAATCAAAGCAGAGAAAGCTTGGTTTCCAACATACCAGACTACCGCCGCGCCGCAGTCCGCCTTGCACTCCCAACAACAACAACAACAAAACAATCAACAACAACACCGCCTAAACAGCTGCTTCGTTTTGGCATTCCCTCTCACGCGCCCATTGAAGGTGTCGGGGGCGATTGTACGACTTCATTCGCCCAACTACAGCAAATTTAAACTGAAATGGAATGAATGGGAGGAATACGAGCGATCCCCGAACCTTGCGCATGTATTTCCAGGCGATGCACCGGGAAGGGAAATTATTATCCAGGTGCAGCCTGGAAATTACACGGTTCCCAGGCCGCGCCTGGAAAAGACAGCATGGTTCCCAGGGAGCGCCTGGAAAAGTTCCGAAGGAACCAGACTGATGCCTGGAAATACATCGGCCCGCCTGGAAATTACATGAAACTCCTGGGAAACCCGGACGTTGGTTTTGCCGTGCTCTGCCCAACCAGATTCACGCTGTGAGCTGCCCGCGCGAGCGCCGGACCGCTGGACGATCGCAGCTTCTGCAAAGTGTTCAAGTCGCTGCGACGGACCATGATAGCATAGGCAAATCGGCAGCGCAGTGCGATGGGCCCTATGAACAAAGACCGATGTCCTTTGGGTCGCTCGAACAAAGTCCGATCTCCTTTGGGTCGCTCGAACAAAGACCGATCTCCATTTCCTAACCTGTCAACGCGTTCATTTTGAAGTCCCAGAACAATCTCTACGTTTTGATTTCACACAAATGAGTTTAAGATGATCATTCTCTAATATGTTAGGAACAAAACCTTCAAACTATTGTTTGAGTTGGATGTCTGTTGCGAGAACTACAATATAAAGAAACGGCGAATGCAGAAACGGCCGAAATGGAGATCAGTCTTTGTTCGAGCGACCCGAAGGAGATCGGTCTTTGTTTGAGCGACCTAAAAGACATCGGTCTTTGTTCATAGGACCCATCGAGTGGCTTGCGATGTCGCGTCTCAACACGAAGAGTGCGGGTTCAAATCCCCATCCGGGGACATAGATTTGCTCGATTCTTTTCTCCGAGCTTGCAGCTCTGATGCTGACGTCACAGGGAGATCGTGCCTCTGAGCACGGTTGCAACCCCTTTTAGGCGAGAACCTCACAATTTCGTCGTTACAACAAAAGAGGCGTGAAGCAGTTGTAACGCGCTGGGGTAAACAGGTGTTTCGTACAGGCTCCCAAAACTGTGTCACTGATGACAAAAAAATTTTTGCCGCCCTAGCAAATTTTTGTGAGTGCCAGGAACAAAGTTTATGCATTCGTAGAACGAGGTTTTATGATGATCATTACAAAATTGATGACGTTAAGTCTACATTCATAGTTTTGTTGCATCAACTAATAGAAATCGTAGAGAGAGCAATGCTGTTTGTTGAAACAAGCGAATGATTAGTTCGATCAGCTAAGCGTCTTGGTTTCGGAAAAAGTAACTAATCTCTTAGTTGTCCCAACGAAGTGTTTGTTGCCACAGCAAAGTCTTTTTCTCCGTGTCCCTCGAGCCCGGCTCTACAAATCAAAAAGCGCACATTGTATGCTCTAACTGGAGCATGCCTGCAAGCACGCTCTAGCTAGCGCATGCCTGTCAAGCATACACTTTACTAGTGCATACATACCATGTACACGCTTCCTGGTGCGGGGAACTCCCTATCCGCTATGCACTAGATGCATGCTTCAGTTAGCGTGTACATGGCATGCATGCACTAGTAAGTGCATGCTTGGCAGGCATGCGCTAGCTAGAGCGAGCTTGCAGGCTGCAGGCATGCTTTTTGGGCCACATCCCTGTGAAGCTGCACGCCGGCCGAGTGCTAGGCCTTTTCCCTTCCAGCACTGTTCACTATATGTGCCTGTCATTATCTATTGTCTGTCACACTTCAGCGGCCGTTGGGCATAAGGACGTAAGTCACATGGGAAACCCATTGAAAATAGGTTGTTCTGTCCGATGACCACTCACTTTTGCCGTTGGTTAGGGGCATTGGGCCGGTGGCGGCGTTTCTTGCGATCATACACGCCCCCGAATGCCTGGCGCACGCAAGGGGAAATGACTGTGAATTTCGGTGTACAAATCCAATGAATTTCAGTCCAATTTCGACGAATTTCAGGGATGGCTTTACTGTATCCCCGCACGCCTGAACCAAATCATACTTTATCAATTTTCTCATTAAACATAAAATTATCATCAAAATTACAAAATTTTCTGAAATTATTACAAAATATTGCGAATTAATTGAAATTAATCAGTATTTTTTCAATTAAATTATTATTCTATCTCTAATGTTTGCAGTAAGGTAAGGCTGGTGGTGGACTGCTCCCAGGCGGGTGAACTGACAGCGTGACGACGCTATCAATTACCCAACTCAATCCGAATTTGATTGCGCCTGATATTTGAATTGGAACCGAGCCGTCCGGCGGGATGCACCTGGAACTTAAAGGTCCAACCTAACCTAACCAAACCTAACGGACTTGCGACAAATCTTGCCCTACTCGCGACAGATCATACCCTAACGCGACATATCTTCAATTCTTACTCCAAAGATCTTACTTCACGTGACAATTTCTTAGTCTTACGCGGCTGATCTTGCGTTTCTCGTGAGAGATCTTACACTAACGTGGAAGATTTTGCACTCTCGTGACGAGTTCTTACTCTCACGCAGCTGTCAGATCATAGCCTGCTCTGCAAACTGAAGTGTGTACATAGTACACTCTTATTAGAGCATGCTTCGAAGTACTCTCTTATTTACAGCATTCTTACTAGTCACACGCTAAAATAGAGTGTACATTGCATGCACACGCCAAATAAGAGTGTACCTGGCATGCACACTTCAACTGGCCCATGCTTTTAGAAAGGACCAATCGAATGTATTTTAGTGTGTACTAGCAAGGTACACACTTATTTAGCGTGTACATGCCAGGCACACTCTATTTTAGCGTGTGCCCAGCAAGTATGCTGTAAATAAGGGTGTACTTAGAAGCATGTTCTAATAAGAGTGTACTACATACATACTTCAGTTTGCAGAGTGACTAAACAAATCTCTACCGCCAATCCCGCAAAGTGGTTCACTCAAGGCATCACCTTACTCCAAACGTTAGAGATAAAATAATAATAAATTATTTATTTTTATTAATACTTGGGATGGCTTTACTGTATCCCCGCACGCCTGAACCAAATCATTATTTATCAATTTACTCATAAAACAAAATAATCATCAAAATTACAAAATTTTCTGAAATTATTACACAATATTGCTAATTAATTGAAATTAATCAGTATTTTTTCGATTAAATTATTGTTTTATCTCAAATGTTTGCAGTAAGGTGAGGCTTGTGGTGGACTGCTCCCAGGCGGGTGAACTGACAGCGTGACTCGAGGCTGAATCTGGTAGTGCCTGATATTTGAATTGGAACCTAGCAGTCGGGCGGGAGGCATATACACCTGAAACTAGAAGGTCCAACCTATCCTAACAAAACCTAACGGACTTGCCACAGATCTTACCGCACTCGCACTGTTGAGTGCGAATAACATGTTATTCGCACTCAACAGGTTGGTGCGCATAAGCAATCAACAAAAGCTAAACACCAAAAACAGTAAACTTATGGGCACCAACCTGTTGAGTGCGAATAACATGTTATTCGCACTCAACAGTGCGAATAACATGTTATTTGCACTCAAAATGTTATTCGCACTCAAATGTTATTCGCACTCAACAGGTTGGTGCACATAAGTAATCAACAAAAGCTAAACAACAAAAACAGCATGGCTACTCCTTTTAGACGAAACATTCAAATTGTTACTTTTGTATGCATTTCGTTCGCCACGGTCAACGATAGTCTATGTCTGTCATGTTTTATCGTGTCGCAGTACTTTCGAAAGGCCTGAGTGCTCTCGGCCCATTTCAAAACTATTTAAGTGTTGTTCTAAGGAAGATTTTGAAGAGGGAGCCAGGGCCAGGCTAGGGCTCTGAGGCTAGCTCAAGTCTTCCTGATTTGAGAATGGACTGAGACCCCTTGCTGTGTCAACCTCTTATCAAGAGAGAGTGACTCAGTGATATCCTGCTTTTAGTGTTGATGTGAGTACCATTTTCCCAGTGTCTCAGGAATCGCTGGCCGAACCAAAGTGATTCAATAGTTGGTCAGCGGCATTGACGCGTAACCTGAAAATACAGATGCAGGTCTTGTATTTTACTTGGTCCAGTTCTACTTTTCATAGTATAATTGCTGTGATTTGAACTAGGGATCCTAAGCACTGAAAATTATTGTATGCACATTTATTTTTCTGTGAACGAGTATTGCTTTCCAAGCCAAATTATTCCATTTCTTTTGCAGCGCCAAATTTTGGCGTTCTGGTCTGTGGTGCTCTGGGGAATGGAACGCCAAATTTTGGCGCTCTCTGTGGAACGCCAAAATTTGGCATGGAATCCGGAAACCAGGGATGGGAACGCCAAATTTTGGCGCTTTGGAAAAGACGCCACTCCAGTGGCGAGGAAACTTGCCACTGGATTTGGAGTGAATTCCCTTGGGCGTACGGGTGTCGTAGCGGCGACGTCGCAATGCAGCTGCGCTGCCTGTGGGCGTACCTCGAGTTGCGCCCACCGAGCGCTGCAACATGCCTAGTCTCATGGCTGCAAGGTGGTGCAGCTTCTTTCTGGCCACGGTCATCATAATCTGGGTCGCATCGTGACCTTCGCAACCGTCTCCCTCCAGACCGCCATGAAAGGGAACAGCTTCATCGTGGCATTCTGCACCGCAGCAAGTCAGCGCTTCATCGACATCTCTACGAGTCTGTGCCTCGTGTGTCCGCTGCTCATCGTAAGTTGCTGTGCGGCCGACCTGCGCGCCGAGTGCAGC